GTGCCCTAGCCACCTAATACGATGCTGTGAAATTATTTTCCTCAAAGGAGGACTATGTGATCTTAGCACCCGTCGTCTGACTTCATCGTTATTTACGCGATGCTCCCACCATACGCGGGCGATGATTCACACTGTCATTGAGGTTTTAATAATTTTGGACGTGTCTTTATACTGTTTGAAACAGAAGTATCCTCCTCCGTCAGTTCACAAAATACATCTGACCGACTACAAGTTACGCCATCCACGTTTAGAATCCATAGACAAATATTCATAAAAAGGCGCAGAGAATATCAGCTCATTTGGAGACCTGCAGTGGAAGGGCGCGAGGCAGGAACCAAATACTATCGTTCGGCTTAATATGAAGCATCTCCAGGCGTGGCTGCTTCGCTCCCTAAAATAACATCGTCCGCGTATTCGAAAATCAAGGATTGTTGAAGCATCGGGGATTTGTTTGACATACATTGTGAAGTAAAAGAAACGGAAAAAATTGTTTCCTGTAGAACACCAGAAGCAATCAGGCGAGTAGAAGATTTCTTGACATTCAGGCACGTGAATCGCTTTCTATCTGTGAAACAATCGCGGTTTAATCTGCACCTCTTTCGGTGATGAGATTAAACCATACCGGTCCATCAAGATTGCTGAAAGCGTTTTTTTAGTCTAATAACACCTCTGACAGTCCGATATTTCCTCTCTAGAACTGATTGTGTTGAGTGAACAAGGTTAGCAATGGCATCAAGTGGTGTGGAGAGTGATATGCAAAATGATGGTTATCATCTTCGATAGGCTCAATGACTACTGACGGTAGCAGGCGTATCAAATAATTTAATCATGGCTGACATGCAGGTGATGAAACGGACATGGTTTTCCTTTCTTACTCCACCTCAAGGATTGGGTCGCGGGATGATAATTAGTGGTTTTCAAACTGGACCTCAACCAAATCCAATGGAATTCACTGCTATCCAAATTCTACCCTGGTAGTCGAAGTAAGCCCGAGATATCCTCATTGATCTGGGGTTCATTGAATGAACTGCAGTGCACAAGCTAGCATATGCCAGCGATCGAGAAACACCTGCGTCAATGGACATTAACAGATTTCCTTTGGAACGCCACCAAAAAATTGTATATTTTTTGTTTCTGTGTGATTTGTTTTCGCAGCCTGTCATCGAAGAATCCTCTGATGGGATCGTTCACTGTAGCTAAAAGAGCATTCTGATTTCCGCATATGCGAATAGGCATTCAATTGAGCTTGCAGCCCAAATTCACTTGCTTAGATTTCGTTGACCATGAAAAACTACTTCATTATTTATTAAAGAACTTTACCTGCAGCAGTCGCGTGATAGCGGCTTTGGTAAAGTCGTCACCTCACTTCCCTTAGGCAGTAAATTACCCTATTTTTTTCCAACTGATATTTGGTAACCACAAGTTAAGGCCTTTATCCTTGATTTGTTGATCCGTAAGATCAATTTGAAATTTGGATTCTTCCTGTTTATGTGCCAGATTTCGTGAGCATTTAAATAAAATGTAACGGGTCGTAGATAAATACTAATGCCCATCATTTTTCTGTATGGACTACACTCTACCAGCTGAGGTGTAGACGTATCGCGCTCTTGTTGGATATCGTCGCTAAAATAGAAAAAACCTTTCTCTACAATTTTTTCAATGTTTGAATGAAGTATAAGCATATTAAAATTCTAACCTCTAAGTCTCTTTGTCTTATCGTTTCATCCCCCTACGCTCATATTTTCCACCAGTCCTCCGGTGGAGCGACCGCATGCCACACGGCGTCTCTCGTGGCCCGAACCAGAAATGCCTCCAACTCATGACATGTTCAACTATATACAGTTCACATCAACTCCAGCCAATGTGCC